TCTTTTCATCATGGTAAATAACACTTTTACCCTTATGTATGCTCTTTCTTTTCTTTTCTTTTCTTTTTTTTTTCTTGAGCATTTTTTCTTTAATAGTTTAACAAGTCACTTCTGGTTTGGCTAAAGAGCAATCCTAGCACAATAATGTTTCAACTTGCAAGGAAGAACACCCTTATTAAGTTGATAGAACTCCACCAGCTGGATTAGATCGGTAAATCTTGTGTGGCCATCATCCAGTGTATGGAACATTGCACCATCATCTTCAATCTGCAGAAGGAAAAGCAGCAAACTGGGGAGAGGGAAAATTACCCAGAAGGATAATCATATTCCACTGTAAACTGTCTCCACATGCCAAAATTGACAAGTTTATAAAACTAAAGGACAATCAAAAGAACATTATAGCATGTCCATTTCTTCTTTGTAACATCACTTGTATTTAAAAGAAATATCATCTGATCCTTAAGTAAGCAGTGTGGCTCTACTTTGTCTACTTCTAATTCTCCCAATGTTTTGTTAGTTAGGGTACTATGACTATTTTGAATCAATGAACAGTTAGAAATCTACAATATCCAGTATAAAAGTAAACAGAAGATTTTAATGTTCCCACTTATAGAAATTAATTTCCATTTCTAAATGTCTACTTAGCCTCAAAAATGAATATTCACATAATTTGTATCAGTAAATTGATTCTGAAACAGTAAAAATTATGCTAAGAAATATCAGTTGTCTTTTCTCTTTGTCAGTGAAGTCTTCTGAAATTAAACAACTCACACTTGCTGCTGGGGACATCAATCACATAATCAAAGAAGTAGAGAGGATACTTTGTATGGCCTTTGGATAATTCTAAAAAAAGGCAATTCAAAAGGTAGCTCTAGCAATTTAAAGATCTTATGGAATACCTTCCTGAAAGTAGACTGAATTTCTATTCTATACTACTTGGTTCCAGTATACACATCACATACATACACGCATGCGCATGCACACAGACACACAGCAACAGAAGCAACAGAAATCCCAAGGCGAATTGTGCCACCCAAAAGCAGAATCACAAAAAATTTTTAAATGTGTGCAGAATAGTTTAAGTGTTCACCAGTTCCACAGCACCTGTGTTTCTACCCACAAGCATTAAAAACAAAACCAAAAAAACCAAAAAAGGGTTTTTGAGACAAGAGAAGAGAAAGGACTTTAAAATAATGATTTTTAAAGAACTGTTATTAGAACTCAGGAGAAAGAACCTTTAGTGGCTTTTTAACAATAGGTGGCATGGGGTCTATACAATATTGCTAAATCATATTTCATGGAAAAAGGAAAATTTAATTTTTACAATTCCTGTATTTCTTCTATTAATTCAGGCTCATAAAACCATTTCTGCCAAACTTAACTCTAGTCAAAGCACAAGCTTCTAAATTATATTTAATAAAAGGACCAAAAGAAAACCAAAGTTTCCAAAAGCTTATGCATTAAGATCATTTCTAATATACGAATATGAAATCACAAATTACTTACTGGTATAATTTGAAAGTGCTTTATTTTTTGTCCATGACTCATTGACAGTACGAAAGTTTTGGGGTTACTCTGACTATCCCGTACCAAGAAAACTCTAAAGAGAGAGAAGGAATTTCAATATGTTTCTACATTTACTCATGGATTTCAAAGAATTATAGTGTGTAACAAATCCAGGAAGCGTTTTCATAAATGTTGTAGCTGGATACTCCTTTACTGTGTATGGAATGGGTGAGATTATCCAACTTGGTAAACAATATGGTATAACATGATCTTAGACTATAAAACTATCATCGATGCTAATGTACTAATGTAATTTTTTTTTTTTTTTTTTTTTTTGAGACAGGATCTCACTCTGTGGCCCAGGCTGGAGTGCAGTAGCACGATCATAGCTCCCTAAGGCCTTGAAGACCTGCGCTCAAGCCATCCTCCTGACTCAACCTTCCAAGTAACTAGAACTACAAGTGCACACCACCACATCCAGCGAATTTTTTATTTTTTATTTTTTTAGAGACGGGGTCTCATTATGTAGCCCAGGCTGGTTTCAAACCCCTGGCCTTAGGCAATCCTCCCACCTCAGCCTCCCAAAGTGCTGTGATTACAGGTGTGAACCATGGTGCCCAACCCCAATTTTAATAGGACAAAATGCAGCTCCTTTGTCAGATTGTTTGCTCACAATAACCAATATACTATTATGTTGGCAGCAACAATTAGTGCTATGTCCTTTTTCCACTGGGAAACTGGGTACTCACATGTATCTCTTTTGCACAAAGAATAAGGCATCAGCATACTGTTATTTTACCTTCTGGGTCATGTTAGGCCCTGAACAGAGATAATAATTTAGAATGAAATCACTTTTTTACCCCTCTTCTACACTGGATCCCCTTTCTTTTGATTCTGGTTTCTACTGTTACATACACAACCGCAAGTACGAAATGAATATATTCTAAGAAATCAATCTTGAAGTCATTTTTTAAATGTTTAAGCAATATGTTTTAAGTAAAAGAAACAACCAAACAACATGTACTTTAACCTTGAAGAATGTAGCAGAAAAGCCTCTATAATGTCAGGCTAGAAAAACAAGACATGGCCTAATGGCTTGAGAGAAAAATGCTGCCAGGCGTGAATTCTTATTTACTGGCAATACAGTGCAAAACCAGTTTTGTGTTAATTGTTGCCAAACACACTGTGTAAATGGTCCCCATTGGCAAATCCAATACTAGTCTCACTGTGCCTGGCAAAGAGGCAGCCAAATTTAAGGTATCACAGATGTCTGACAAGATTATCCATTTCATTTGTGTTGCGTGAGACACCGACATTGCGTCACTGGGAGACGGGACAAAATGGCGTTTCACTGGTAAATCAAGCTGCGATTGCCTCCTCATTCCCAAGCGGATCACCACTACCACCTAGTGGACTGCTTGGCACCATCATATCTTTCCAAAGGAATACCAAAAAATTTAAAAATAAAGATACTATCGTTCTTTATACAATTATTTCATTAAAGTTACAAAAACTGGGCTCAGAAATAAAGGAAATTATAATCCTCCAAAACATCTTAATAATTTTTTTGTGATTTATTTCTTTTCTTTGTCTCATCAGATTGTAATTCTGCTGATTACTCAAATTTATATCCAAAAAGACTGTGTTCCATGCCGAGAAGCATATTAAAATCTTCTCTTATTTACAGTCTGGTGAAATGCTGACTTGCTATTAATAATCTTCCATGTGAAGGTACGTTTTCATCCAAATGTCAGTATTAAATCACCTCAAAACCTTGCCATCATCTTGGCCAACGAACTACTGAAGATAAAAGAGCCCATCACCACTTGTTTCAACTGATACTGGTTTCATTTCTCTTCCAATCCTCAATATAAACTCCCTCATTTGTATTGCATTTGGGAAGGGAATTTAGCCAGTATTATAAAAAGTATCTGAAACACTAATTTGAGAAAAGGAAAATTCATCAGGTTATAAATTTTTCATAATACATTTTATATTTCTCTCTTTTCATAGGTTTATATTAGTTTAAGCTGTTAAAATTTAGAAAAGAAACCAATAGGGACATAAGCAGACAGGAAAAGAAAATAAAACAAGTGTTCAAAATACGTAAGAAACAGCTTTAGATAATGTCATGATATAAACCACACTTTGAAATCATATTGATCATATGTTCAAATCAAAATATTAACACCCAAAAACAAATTCAGTCTCCCCCATCAATATCTGAGATGCTAGAATTGACACAGAATGGGTTATATTAGTGGTCATTGGTTAAGAACAAAGCATCTTACTGTGTTATCTGTTCATTCATGCACACCCGGCACATGCTATATACCAGGTATCGTATGGATAATGTCAGAATATGATGTCAACTGCCTTTATAAAACAAAGTCACTCCTCTTTCATGATAAGCCCAAACCAAAAACTCTTCATGTGTGTTAAATAAATAATTATTACTGATAGGAGAAATCCAAATAACTGCTACTCCAAACTAAAAATATCAAGCTTACCCATCCACAGGTCCTTGCTGACTAATCAATCGCTGAGCCTCATCTCTAGAAATCTTGTGGTGAAACCACGGCTGAGACTGGTGGATAGCTAAAAACATAAAACGGATTGAAAACAAAGCTTTGTTTGAAATGAGCACAGTTTCATTACATGAATTTCCACCATATCCACTCAGTGATAACACCTAAAGACACATCTATCCATCCATTCAGTGACAATGACTATGAATAAACATACCCATGTTTGCGGCGGAGCTCTGTGAAGGGGCCGTGGGGCTTCCATGTGCGCCCAGACGCAAGCATCCTTTTTTCTGAGCAAGGAACGGGGAAACAAATCTCATCTTTTGGAATGAAACAAACTCAGATCATAAACATATTGAAGAAAGTAAAGCTATTTATACCCTCCAAGCAAGTCCTTCTTCAACTGCAACTGAAAGGGCTTCAGTGGGATTTTCTATAACTCTGCCTTTCTGGCCTGAGAAGTCCATTGCTACCAGGGAATTCTCTGATATACTTCTCTGGAAAAAAAAAAACCCCACATTTGAGCCATGAAAATATCTTTGGAAGTTACCAAGTTACCTTTCAGTGATTTTCTGGCAATACATTTCCATTCTAGAAGGGGTTCCAGAAGTGGCTAGCAGGAAATTAAAAAGTTAAAATACATATTCAAGATAAAATGGTGCTATAAAATATTCTGGTTAAGTTACACAGTTTTTTCTTAAGGTAACTAAGAGCTGAGTAAAGAGATTAAAATCTGTCAAAGTAAGCATGCCTTTCTTCTAAAACAAACCTCTTCATATTCTTTAATATGATAAAATGGGAAAACTTCTATTTAGAAAGGAATAACCCTTCCTGTGGTTAAAAAGATCCATTACTTCTCAATTCATCTCTCTATTAAGCTTTGAGATTCATCAATCATCAATTAAATATCAAATCCACCTACTTATGAAGTAGCTATTTTATAAGATTCAAGATATACAAAAGCTGTAACTTAGATTGACATACAACATCACTTTAGAAATAGTACTCATATTTTATAATGGAACAAACTAGAATATGCATTTTAAAAGTTTATCACATCAACTTTCATCTTACTTAGAAACTAAAATTTAGTGAAATAATAATTCAGGAAATTTCATAAAATTAAAATTTCCATGACTTAACATATGAACACTTTCATCTTGTGAGACTATAGATGGCCACATGAGAGGTACAAAAATAAGCCTGAATCATGAAAGAACCGATACAAAAAGAAGACACCATTAAACAAACATAATTTAAATGAGTAATAAAGTCATCGTTTTTGCTAATTCTTGTATTCATACTCTCTGAGGTGAAAGTAAAATATCCAAAACCTAGATCTTATTTTTCATTTTTTGTTTGTTTGGGGTTCTACTTCACAACCATCTTTTAAAAAGTATGCCATCCCACAAGTCATGAATTCTAAAAAAAGAGACAACTGTCAAAATCTCTAGTCAAGAGAATCACTTGGTTTATACAGTATGAACAAGGAACTAAAACTCTCCAAAAGAAAAAAAAATTCAAAGAAAGACCCACATGGAAAACATTTAACAGTTATTCCTCACTAATTAATAGAAGAGCAAAATCAACCATGGAGTTATAATGGTAGATTATGAGCCAGTCTACATCTGGGGACTTGTGTGGCTTAAAATCATTTTTTTCTGTATAGTATTTTTTTTCCAATATACTTTGGATGTACAAGTGCACTTTTGTTAGATGAATATATTGTATAATAGTGAGGTCTGAGCTTTTAGTGTATCCGTCACCCAAATAATGAACACTGTACCCAAGAGGTAATTTTCATTTCTCTCTATGTGAATTCAGCCATGTCTAGCCTAGTTAACAGACAATAGTCAAATGAGGGCTTCAAACAAAATATTATCCACAAAAAAATTTTAGGGCTCCTTTACGACTGCATCACACATCCATCCCACTTTATTAGCATTTGTTATTTTCTCTTCAAACCATGTGGTAGAGGCCCCAATCTTATTATGGTTCATCTCTATTTCTAGAGATCCAGCATGCAATCTTTCATTTGTTACAGAAGCCTTTATAACTGACAGCTGCTCTTTCCAGACAGATGCTGTCTCTGTAATCTCTATTTGCTGTCACACCTTACTTGCACTTTTCACCCCGTGATCTTCTGTGCCAGGCTGTGGACCAGTCGGATATACTTTTGCTTTGCTGACATTAATGAAAACCGTCCACCTGCCAAAACCACAGAGTAACTAGCCTCAATCGTAATAGCTTTATCCTTATAATATCTCTCCCCTCACAGGCCAAGATGGGTTCTGTAATCTCAAGTTCCTGGTAACATAAAAATACCGTTAGGAAAGAAAAATAAACATAATCAGGTTTTCTTCCCCCTTTAGTAAGGCAGTCCAGAATATAAAACAAGATCCCACATTCCCTAATTACTTGACATACGTAAGGAGACCACCATATAAATAAGGAACTTTTTCATGTGCTACCTTAACTACACTAAGGGCAAACAGGAATATACAGCAAATGTTTTCTACTGAATGGCAGGTGGTGGATGAAAAATTAATAGTTTCCCTTCGGTGGACAAAGAAACAGAAGTAACGCATAGTCCGACAAACTCAAAAGGTCATTTTCAGTTCAATTTCTTTCTCATAGGAAAGCAATGTTGATAACATTCAGAATCAGTTGTATTTCTCAAATATTTGCCCCTTTTTCTAGCTCTTTCTTTGCAGGAGATGAGCAGGGCAGGCCCTAGGAAAAGGGGCCAATGATTTTAATGGTATGGCTTTCTTTCTAAGAAAGAAGAGGCCCTAATACAACCTGGATTATCCAAGCCACACTTTGAGATCAGACCTACTCACTCTTAGTGAGGTTTGCACATAAAATGTTTTGCAGGTAGTTTAGCTAGGTGACAACTAGTAGCCACATACTCTTTTTCATTCCATTTGAAGGATCTAGATAAACCTGCAGTGCAGACATTTAGCAAGAGGGCACAGGACATTAGACATGTAATGGATTCTAGGGACTATGCAACCATCACCTTTATTTTATACTGCAGGACACCAGTGACTCGACAAGGTCACACAGATGGCTTCTGGCCACACAGATGGCTTAGAAGCAGTAACAGATACGTCCTGTCTAGGATTCTTTTATGTAGCACAGAGTGGGAGGTACAGGGAAGAAACTGCAGTTTAGGATGTCCTTTCCAGGGTCAAAAGTGAAGAATAAAAAGGACTTGAGTAGACTCCACCTTCCCCAAATCCCCCATCCCTTCACTCCAGCCAGAGCCATATTAACAGATGCTCCTTTAAAAGAATGCTTTGCTGCCCTAAAAAGGACAAAATATTTGGCTTCCTGAAATGTCTGCTGCTGATTCTCATTTCAAAGGCCGACAGGGGTGGCTGTCACGTGCTATAAATAGCTATGACGTTTACTATGGTATGAGAATTTTTTTTTTCTCCTTTCCTTCTCAAAATGTACACCTGGAATAGTTAAGAAAAGAATATTGTTTCTTTAAAAATATAACCAAAATATATTAACTTTTCTGTGTCACTCACAGAAAATAGCCCCTGGATGAAAAGCAACAAGGCCAGGGAGGGGCATCTATTAGGTCACTGAATCTTCCTTAACAATCTAGAACAGAAGGATTCTGTATAGATGCCAAAGTCAACACGAGTACCTCCCAAGACTTCTAAGTTTCTATCACAGAAATTAAGAATAGTGGAGCTATAATTCTCACATGCTACTCTGTCTGATCACGACAACCGCCAAACAAGACAGGTCTTTACGACACACTTCCTTACTCGAACCTCTTCCCCTACAAGCCCTGTTTCTAACAGATCCCCTGAGGGAGTGTCTCTTCCTATACCTGGTGCTGAACAAGTAAAGCCACAATAACCAAACTGTCATATACATCTTGATCAACAGCAGGATCACTTTCAATGGAAAAAAGCAAGAATAATACCACATTTATATGCTAACGACAGTGACAAGAACAGGAAGTACTTTGTTTATAACAAATTTTCTCCATGATTAAGAGGACACTAAACAATAATTGCCTCCAAATACCTGACTGCTATTAACATGCTCATCCTAATAACTTTGGACTCCAAAAGAAATTTGGAGGGATTTAGGAAAGGATTAAGATAATAAAATTCATTATTCTTTTTATATACATGTGGATTGCAAGATAAGTATAAGCCGACAAACGGTAAAAATATTCACCTTAACTGATTGCTTTCATAAAAATTCACTGCATTCCTTAGTTTCTTATTTTAGGGCTTAAGAGTAATATGAGACAAAGATGAAAAGTTATTCTTCCATAACTTAAAGCAACATAACTACAAAATTGAAGTTCTTTTTCTATACAGTCTATCAGGCTTCATAATCAACATTATTTCATGCCTCATTCCTAGAACTGAGCATTTCATCTACTACATTACATGTGGGGTAAATGCACCTTCCTTGGTCACAGCCATGAAGAGCATATTTTTAACCTAAGTGGAAAGAAACATAGGTTTCAAAAATGCACATTAACTGATTTGTAACACAGGTGCATACATCTGAATTCCTAATATACTCAATATTAAGGAAAAAAATGAAAATAGTAGAACATAAATTTTAAATTCAGAAATAAGTTTCTTGTGTTAATGCACAGGAAATCAAAATGAGATCTTAAAGGAGGGAAAAGATGTGTCCATGTATGTCTGCAAATAAATATCCAAGTTATAATTAGCATAAATCTGCAGAGCAGTGCTAGAATTAGTGTAAAGCATGACCTATATTTTAACTTGCAGTTTTTGGGTTTCCTGGAAAGCAGTTTGATTTTTACGAACCTGGAGCTTAAAAAAAAGTTACCATTAGAAAGCCAGAATGCAAGAAAGCTCACATGTGTATATTGCAGCCTTCAAAACTCCAAATCATTAGCATCTTTATACTAGACTATGACGATCACAGAATCAGTATTTAAATAAATAAATAAACCCATAACCAAAACCAATAATTAAAACATAATCTACAATCCAAGGAAAATGTTCTGTAAATTATCAAGATCTAATCCTCAAATGTTATAATGATACAGAATGACCCACAAAATTCTTTCAAATATCTAAACATTTTCTTTAACATTATGTATTTTAATTGACTACTTCACATTGAAAAATCACAATACTGTTGTGATTTTATCACATAGGCTGCAAACAAATAAAATCTAAGAATTAAAAATGCAATATAACAATATATTAGAATGGTGCCAAAGATTTATTTGACTTGACCAACAGGAAATAAGGTAAATGTATTATAATATACATTTGTAATATAATGTAATGTAATTATAAATTAATATAATGTAAATGTAAAATAAAATACAGGTTCAAAAATTTGATCCTTACCATGGGTGATATACTCTGAGAACTGCAGCCACTTCTACCTTGATACGGATGCATATAATTCTGGTACAGCTGCATTCCATACTGCAGAATATATAAATAAAAATACATTCCCACCACTTTTACTACATTGATAATTTATGAAAATCAACACTTTCGTTAATTAGACAATAACAATATAAAAGAGAAGTATAAGTTTTCTTTAAAACAAACAAGTAAAGCAAACAAAATTTTGAAAGATAAACTTTCAGTGCCATACAGTGTTACATTTAAAAAGTCAAAGGATTTTTTTTGACCCACAATTTCAGGTCTAGCTCACCAGTACAAAGTTGTGGAGCTGACATTTCTACTCATTATTCTTAGCACCAAACTGTACCACAACCGTTTGGAGTGGTACACCGTCTCACGACAAGAAAGCTCCCTTGGGAAAGGGGCCATGCTTTCTGGTACAAAGATTCTGAAAACCTCACACACATCCTAAGCAACACTGTGTAAAATTCACTGTAACTCTCTCATAACTGACTGATGAAGTACATTGCCTCTTTGGTAAACCCATAAACATGACCCTATATTGAAGATTCCTGACAGTGTATCATACTTGTATCAATACTCTTATGTTTAAATTTTGCTTCAAATTCAGGGAAACCAAAGTAGTGGGGAATCAAGCTGATTTCCAACAATGGGTTTCAAAACACAATGTAAACTGTAGAAGATAAGAACTGCAGTGTCCTCACTATCAGGAGACAGAATCATACAGCATGGGCTGGCAGGTCATAATTCGAAAGTAGGTCTGGGTTATAAACGGATTATTAGTTTGAGAAACATTAAGAATGCCAGCTGCCCATGATCAAATTTGTCTAAGATGTGTCCCCATCTGAAGCTGCCAACCTTCGGTTTACGCCACATTAAGAAAAAGAAAAAAAAGAAAGAAGAAAGAAAGAAAGAAAAGAAAGAAAGCAATGGTATAAACAGCTTTTCTTTCTTTTTTCTTTTTTGCTATACTCTATAATTCTCTCCATTTCATGGAATAATAATGAAATTAAAAATTAAGTCTTATATAAAAAGAATGAAATAGACACCATGGAATCCAATCTTACCTGTAGGATAAATTCCATTTAAACACTCCAACAGAGCTGTTTCTCTACTAAAGACTATTTCCTTAAAAGCAATTCCAGCAAAATGGATGTATTTGGTAATTAGGCAAAAAATCAGAGGGGGTCTAGGAGAGTCACTGTTTTCAAGATTTTGCTTTTAACATGAATATAAACCCACAGTCATTTAAAATTCTCTGTGTTGAATTCTTTATCCAATTATTTCCCAACTTCTAAAAATTACTTTTTAATTTAAGGTTTGATTGACATTAATGGTACTTAATGAAATTTATTTAAAATCAACTCTAAGCCTACTCTAAAAAGAAGGAAGAGGAGCTTAATTCCTAGTCAAGCTCATTTTGGAGAATATATAATAACCTCAAACCAACACTTTCACAAGGAACATGCTGCTTCGCCACCTTTTATTTATCTGCATTGAAAAGCCTGCTACCTACTATTTTCTTCAAAGATGTATTGTCCCTGGTACAGGCAATGTTTAGGTAGTTGCCTCTGGGCTGCTGGAAGTCTTTAGTAGGCATTTAACTCTGGCGGAGGGGTAGGGTGTGGGTCTACCTTAACATTTCCCTATCCTACGGAAGGGCAGATAAGGAGCCAAACACTATTAGAGAAGACCTAGCAGAGTGATAGTTGAAGGGAAGGGAGAGAGACAGCAGGTAATTAGAACACTATACATGAGCAAATCTCCCATTTTCTAAATCTCATATTTTCTACAATTCTATATGGTACTAGAATTTCTCCAAAGAGAATGAGAGTGTACCCATATAATCTATCTAAAGAGTTTATATGTATACATGAAAAAGAAAAGGAAAAAAGAATAAAATAAGTGGCCAAATTTTTGGTGGGAGACTCTACCTAATAAGTAATATGTCATGAAAACAAGAGGGCATTTCCAGTCCAGTCAACATAATACTTCCCTGGTCATTACTACGTACAATGATAAACTCTGGCAATAACACAATAGACAACCAAAGATGACAAACAAAAGAGGTGGTAGAGACACTTCTATAATAATACCAAGGCGGCCAGCTGCACCAGCCAAGGGGATCAAAGAGCCCCACTGACAAGTTGCCCACACACTCCTCTAATTACTAATAGAACATCACAAATGTCTCTGTGTTGTGAGACCTGGGCAAGTCCTGGCTTCCTGTGATCTGGATGCTTTAAAGTGTAAAACAGATCACATCATTTTTCTGTTTGGTTTTCTCATTGCCTCCAGGATAAAGGTACTCACTGACACCTCCCTCCCTCTCTAGTCCTATCTGAAAAAGCTCTGCTGTTGCTGAAATGAACACGGAACATGGTTGCAGTGGATAGAATAACGGTCCCCAAAGATGTTCACATCGTAATCTCCTGGAAGCTGTGAGTATGTTAGGCTACATGGCAAAAGGGAATTAAGGTTGCTCATCAGCTGATTGTTGGGTGGAGTGAGGCGCCTGGATTATCCAGGTGGGCCCAACGTAATCACAAGGGGTTTCATCAGTGGGAGAGGGAGACAGAACAAACAGAACCGGGGACATAGTGGTGTGAGAAGGACTAGGCATGACATTGCTGGCTTTGAAGATGGAGAAATGGCCCCCAGATGAGAAGTCTGGGCGGCCTCTAAAGGCTTAAAAGGACAAGAGCAATGGATTCCCCCTAGGGCCTCTAGGAGGGAACGCAGCCCTGCGGACACCTTGATTTTAACCCAGGAAGACTCATTTCAGGCTTCTGAACTAAAGAAGTGTAGGACAATAAATTTGTGTTGTTTTTAAGCCACTGCATTGGTGGTAGTTTGTTACAGCAGCCCCTGAAAACTAACAGAACAGAGCATCTTTGAACTGGGAATCTGTGACTTTGAAGAGGCTTTGCGAACACTAAGATGAAAAAACAAAGTGAGAACGGGACAATCTTCCAGAAACTAAGCACCCTGGAAATGAATTAAAGAAAGCTTCTAGTGTATTTCACTGATTCTTAGACATGCATTTCAAAATTTAACATTCATAAATTTGATTGCATCCTATAATCTATAACAACCAATATTCACTGTGGACCAATTGACTGGTCGTTGCCTAAAACCCTTAGTGGGATCAAGAAACCACCATCATCAAACCTGGCAGAAGGGATGTCAGTGGCTAGAAAGATAGCCCCCTAGACCACGGCAGAGCACTCATCTGAGAAGTTCTGCCTCCCCAAAGCTCTTGATAGCATAGAACAGATACCCTGTGGAGAATACACATATCCACAACTCTGACACGAAAATGATTCAGAAAGCCAGACTTAGAATATTAAGAAGTTTTAAAACCACCTCAACTAATTTATTCTACTTATATATATGAGAGTTCCAATTTCTCCATATACTGGTTAACATTTCCTCTCCTTTTTTATAACTGACTGATGAAGTACATTGCCTCTTTGGTAAACCCATAAACATGACCCTATATTGAAGATTCCTGACAGTGTATCATACTTGTATCAATACTCTTATGTTTAAATTTTGCTTCAAATTCAGGGAAACCAAAGTAGTGGGGAATCAAGCTGATTTCCAACAATGGGTTTCAAAACACAATGTAAACTGTAGAAGATAAGAACTGCAGTGTCCTCACTATCAGGAGACAGAATCATACAGCATGGGCTGGCAGGTCATAATTCGAAAGTAGGTCTGGGTTATAAACGGATTATTAGTTTGAGAAACATTAAGAATGCCAGCTGCCCATGATCAAATTTGTCTAAGATGTGTCCCCATCTGAAGCTGCCAACCTTCGGTTTACGCCACATTAAGAAAAAGAAAAAAAAGAAAGAAGAAAGAAAGAAAGAAAAGAAAGAAAGCAATGGTATAAACAGCTTTTCTTTCTTTTTTCTTTTTTGCTATACTCTATAATTCTCTCCATTTCATGGAATAATAATGAAATTAAAAATTAAGTCTTATATAAA